AGCTACGCACAAGCCTACGTTGTGCTCGAAGGCGCTGACAGTGCTGGAAGCTCCAGGCTGCACCTTGCTGCTGTCCCCTACTGCCTCATCGCGAAAGATTCGAAGGACGCCTCGGCTCGAGAGAATAAGAAGCAAGTGAGAACCGATGCAGGCTGAACCGTGTCTAAGTAAACTTGATCACGACTTGATCGCGGCTTGATTCACGGCCGACCCGCTCAGAGTTGAACCGAGTACCACAACTATCTCACCTTGAGCTCGGACCTGAGCAGGTTCGTGACCCACGCCCCCGGTGGCATGGTCAGCGACCACCTGCTGACTAGCCAGGAAGCGTGGGGGCTCCTTCCGTATGGACCACAACTATGTCGCCTCGCCGCAAGGGCTCCTCCGACGGCGGCTTCACTTCACGGTCTCTCATACTTTATAGTAAGCTCGGTTGTCGTGTCGGCAACTGCTCTCGCCGCCTATACCTTGTGAGGTGGCCCGAGTGTGTTGTAGTGATTACCCTCGTAGGGTGTGTGCACGGGGGGAAGGCGATTCCTTCAGTCGCTCGCCTATCAACCAAGACTCCACCTCCGCCGGTATGTCTGACCATACAAAGTACTCCTCTCAGTCTTTGTCACCCCCGTGTGTGCTCCTCCTCGTCCGTAGTGCAAGCTGCGAATTACTCTCTCTCTCTTGTAGAGTACGTACCGTCGACCCGTTGTGGCTCCACAATCCTACCATCGCGCTCTACGTAACATTTGTGACCGGTGAGGCCCTCCTCTGCGCGTGATCTGAGCCACGTTCGGCAGGTCTATGCTGCTGCTTGACCAGTAGGCCGATACGACCAGGACACGGCCACCACTGGCCTCAAATTGCCAACACTCCCGTAATTGACACAACTGAGGTTCATTACAACTGTCCATCTCGTCTGCACAGGACACGCTTGGTTGCAAGCGGAAAACAATGTGCCTCCAGCAAAATCACCGCAGTCAGCAACGACAACCGAGGAGAAGTTGGGGCGGGGAAGAGGTGCGGGTGGAGACATTCCTGTCCGAAGTGGGGAAGATCGTCGACCTGTTGGAGCGCAATGTGAGGTCCGTCCTCGGAAGAAGTCGATCAGCCAACGCTGCCCGGTAAGCTTCGTTCGCCTTGCGGCCCGCAGGGGGACAACGGCGGAGCTGACGTGCTGAAGGCGTGCATCCTTGCGACAGCGTTAGACGACGATTGGCGAAGGCGTTCAACAGTCCGAGTCACCCTCTAGTGGGGGGGGATGAGGTCGCCAGCGGGGGAGGGTGCACAGTGTGCGGAAGCCCCCACCGATCAGCGTCCTCGGAGTGGTCGGGCACCCTTAACTCTTCGTCCCAATATAAGCTGAGGGGACTGCCCTTCTGTTCGACTTAATGAAGAAGGGCAGTATGTTCAGTTGGGGGCCTGCCTTACAGAGCGCGGTGGTAGGAGACGAAGTTTGGGAATTGGTGCGAATCAGGGCGGTCGTGAGGTCCCCTCGAAGTGCCCCTCGAGTTCGCCTTGAAGAAGCTGACCGGTGCAGAGCATGAGTGGGATACCAGGGAGAGAGCTGTTCGCCATCAAGTGGGCCGTAGCGTTCTGACTTGACGCTGGAGTTCATGTCTGGACAGAAGAACTGTTGGCAGATTGGCTGTCACCCTACGCCGCCGAGGAAGCGGTCACCCTACGCCGCCGAGGAAGCGGACGACGACGCGCTCGTGGAGCGGATGGCGCTCGTGGAGCGGATGGCGCTCGGGGGTGCGATTGTGGCATACGTAGGGGCGTTGGTACACGCGAGCAGACCGACGGAGGAAGACTTCGCAGCGACGCAAAGGTTGATGCCGGTCGAGGGCGTGGTTCGAAAGACGGTCAACGGGGGGCATCACACGGTTTTGGGAAGCTGCCGGAGACGCTCCCCACACGCGCCATGTTGCGGTTCCACTACGGCTCGTGTTGGGGCGAACAAGGCCAGGAAGCGTGGGTTGTTCTGCTGGCCCGGGTTAGTCGCCCAGACGGTTACGGTCAGAGGAGACCTGCAAAAAGGCTTTATGAAATTAAAACGGCGCTCGAACAAAAAGCATCCAGCCGCACCGGCCGAACTTTACGTTCGCGCCAGCTCGTGACTGTCGACCACCGCTGCTCATTGAGCCCCCGTCCCGACTGACGTCCGCTACAGCAGTTCGCCACATCGAAAAACTGGAGTCCATCACTTACTGGAGTTACCCACTCCGTCCTTGACTGCGGAGTAGTCGAGGTAGTCGATTACGTCGTCACAGCCTGCGTCGGCTCGCACTTGGTCCCAGAAGGCCACTCCTGCGCCGAGTGTACGCAACTCAACTCCGTTTGCTAGGCACCAAGGGATGGTAACAAGCCGCAGTCTGGATCTTTCACCTCTTTCGGTGAACTGTAGTAGGACGTAGGCTTGTGCGTAGTTGCCGATGTAGTGATCGTATCTGAGCCGAGGACCAAACTTATCGCATGCATCTGTAATCATGTTGGCATCGTCCTCAAGGTGGCGGACTATATCAGGCGAGAGTCGGTAGGACTTGATGAGGTCGGCGAGGTTGACGACGCGCCAGCGCGAGATGTGTCTATCCATCTCGTCCCCCATCAAGTTGCCGGCCGCGACATCGGACGGCGAGAAGCAGTTCAGTCGCCTGTTAAGGAGGTTGGCGGGGTCCCAGCGGATATTTGTTATGTCGAGACCCTCCCGTCGGGCTTTGCAGCTCAGTTCCTCCACGCTCATCTCGCTGACCTTCTTCCAGGTGCCCTTCACGGTCTCCTGCGGCGGCCACTGATCGCCAGGTGTGTAGACCTTGCCGTCCGGCCCGGGCACGACCCAGTCCTTAAGTGGCAGGAGGTGATCGTCAGGAATGAAGTCCTTCATGTTAGGATGTCGACTCAGCACGTTCGCGGTCACCTTGCTCGGCACCGGCAGGCTAATCACTTCACCGGGTTTGCACCGCTCGCACACGAAATTCCGACCGCCATTGCCACTATATTTCTTGACTGCTACCTTGTCCTCCCAGCTTATCCCCAATATCGGACGACAGATGCCCTTCCAGAAGAACGACTTGTAGTCACCAGAGGGCTCAAGCGCCTTGTAGGTTTTAAACAGCGCCTCGCGCAACTCGCTCATGCTCGTCATCGGCCTCTTCAACGGAGTTATTGACTCACCCTCAGTCAGCTTGCCAGCCTCGGCCAACTGCATCAAGACCTTTTGGGCCACGCGAACTCGTTCCGCTTCGTCACGAGCCTTCTTAGCGTCCCCGTACATGGTGCCCCGTTCAAAGTCCACTCTCACCGTAGGACGAATTGCATGACTCAGTAAGTGGATCTGATCAGGGTTGAACAACGTGTCTTCGCTCTTCATCAGCTCATCCACCGTCTGCAGAGCGATGGTTAGAAACAGCCGTGGGGTGATACGGTCTTGATCAGCAAAACCAATTC